TTCCACAGTCGTTCGAATGGCATTCCAGTGGACGGTAAGATCTTTATTCACTATTATAACTGCCTCTGCTAAAGCCAAGAGTTGAACCAACCCCGGCCGACACTATCTCTACCCAGGTTTCTAAGTAATCGATGCCTTTTTTCGATGCTTGGTTTTGTAGGCATCGAAAAAGGGCATCGATAAGTCAAGAAAACATCCTCTTCGATTCTCTACATACTATCCGCCCCTACTTTTTCTGCCAGTGTTCAAGTTGATGCAGCAAACTTCGTAAAGCAAGCAAAAAGCAAGTAACATCCGATTCTGTCTCTAATAATTTATCGAGCTTACACTAATCGGGGCAGTCGCGCATCCATTGTATTCAATTTGCAGCGATTGTATTGGATATGATGTATCGACTATAACAACCGGCGCGACTCTTATTTCTCAGGCAATTATTAGTATGTAACGTCCACCTTCTATCGTTCATTTTATTCATCCCAACTTTCAAAAGTGTCAATCCCCAGATCATAATAATTCCAGCATTCAGATCCTTAGGTCAGTCAGAATTATTGTATCTCTTGGAGACTCCGCTGACACTTATGAAGATTACATTTTTTGCACCCAGCCTTACTTGGAAGTATCTGATCGGTTGCGAGGAATTTCAGGCGTACCAGAGGTTTACAAACCATCTGGTCCAATGCCTCCAAAACTAATGAACTCAATTAGTAGCACAATTACCATCAGTTTTGCTACAGTAGATATGATACCTACATTTTAAGTGATATGGTCATAACTAGCCACCACATCGTTACATCGTCCACAAAGTACATCATCTTTTGGTCGTGTATATGTCCAGCACCGTGGGCATTTATGGAGATTCGCAGGTCGTATACGTATAACCATATCTTCGTCGGAGTCTTACAAATAAAAGGGATCAGAAAGCGGAAAAATCAAATTTCGTTCTAATTACTTACCTGGTATCTGGGTGGTTTTCAAGTGAAGCCACTCTGGTGAATTCGTTCCTAACGACCCTTCATCTATGATAGTTACGTCGGAGACAATGAAGAGAGTCTTGAGGAAGTTTTCTGAAAAATTTTTGGATAAAGGTTAATGAAAATCTATCAATGATAACAGCAAAAAAGTTTCATGCCTTGACGTCGCAGCATAGCAAGAAAATGGTTTTCAGGCAGATCCGGCGGTAGGACAATATCAACAACTGCTTCCAGAGCACTTTTTATTTGTCTATCACAACGGCTTTAGACCTGATTCCGAAACGTATCAATAAAAGATACCCACTTTTGCTCTCGAGCTTTCTCTAAAAGCGCGAGGACATCTCCCCGGACCACAAGTAGGTGAGCCATATCTTGGGCTACTCCTATGTCTTTCCAATCATGGCTCTAAAAGAAAAAGTCTAGTCAGATGACTAAAGTTCCAGAACTAAATGGTCTTACCAAAGGCTTCCAGGGAGTCATGAAGACTGATTTGTCATCGGCTTTCCATGTTGCATGAATCTCTTCAGCAAGATAAGGAAGGACGGGAGCCACAATCTTAGTCAAGGTACCCAAAACCTGTTTCGTATTACAAACGATCAGACAAACCATACCGGATGAGGTTTGCGAAATTACCTGTTCCAGCACTGTGATTACGGCTCGTCTCTGATGACTGTCGATGGCGTCCGCATAAAGAACATCCTTGGTGATATCCAAATAGAGCGAGGACAAAGTTATGTTCGCAAAATGATTCAATGCATTAATTACTTATTTCAGGCAAGAAATGGATGTAGGGTTAGTAGTGATAATTAAATCATGATAAAACTGAAAATACCTTTTGGGAAATTATAGGCGGTATATTCTTCTAACGCAGTTTGTTCTAGATTATATAGTTCATGCATAACATATTTTTCAGCCTTTGCACAAGCAAATGAGCGAGTCGCGCTTGGGGGGAAAAGAAAACGAACGACGCACGTAACCCATCTCAGCTCTAGGAACTCTCTCCATTTTCGCCAACGTCTCAGGAGGGCCAAGGTTCGCAAGACAAAATCGAGCAGAATTGCGTAGTTTTCGAAGCGATTCTGCCACTTGAGTGATGACGGTTGGGCCAATAGACATATCTTTCCAGTGTTCGACTGTAGCGGCCCACAGTCTTAAGACGTCGGCGCCATAGGCGAGTTGTGTCTTGTCCTGCACCAAAAAAAATAACTAAGCGAACAAATTTTTCGATAACAGCAAATTGGATCAGAAACCGTACATCAGACCCCTTCACGATCGTCATAGGATTGACAATATTTCCCAATGACTTGCTCATCTTCTTCCCTTTCTCATCCAACACCATTCCATGTGTCATCAGAGCAGCATAAGGGCTAACAGGTCTCTGACCAGCAGGTGCAGAACCAAGAGCAGTCAGAAGTTGACTCTGGAACCAACCTCGATGTTGATCAGAGCCTTCTAGGCATAGATCAGCATCGAATTGTCGACCAACACCATCCTCTTTCCCCCGATCGTTACCCACACCCATCTCCGATAACATCGACCACGAAGTCCCACTATCAAACCACACATCCATTGTGTCTTTCCCTTTCTCCCAACTCTCCACCGCTGTCTTGCCCTCTTCCAATAGATGAGGTGGCACAAACTCTTCGATGGGCGAATCCCACCAATCGAGGTTCTTGGTCTCCATAGCGCTAATGATGTAATCGAGGGATTGGGAGTCTAAGACAACTTTGCCTGTCTCGATGTGATGTAGCGCAGGAATTGGCACTCCCCAGACACGCTGCCGCGAAATACACCATTCAGAGCGCGACTGGATGAATGATTCAAGGCGATTACGGGCTTTTTCGCAGAAGGAAAAAATGATTAGTAGGTTGGAAGGACAATGGACAGGGGGAAACTTACAAAGTTGGGGGTAGAACGACACCGTTTCCAACGCACTGAGCGCATCCTCTTTGATACCATCCAGATTGGAAAACCACTGCGACGTCGCCCTGTTAAAAGAGGAGAAAATAATTGTAAATTTAGATAATAGTAATGCAAAAAAAAAAACGCGAGTCATACGTCATAATAACAGGTTGGTTCGTCTTCCAATCATACGGGTAACGGTGCCTTATCTTTTCCGTCTTGACAAGCCTATGCCCCTTTTGCAACAATTCTACCATAGCCGCATTTCCCTTAACCAGAACGTTTTTACCAACCAAACTTGCTGCCGCTTCTTCCCCAACAACATTTGCGATCTCTGATGAGAATGCTCCTTTCTCGTCGACATGGCATAACATAGTGGTGGCACTAGAAAGTAGACCCAGGGAGCGGAAAGCAATATAATCCTCTTGCCCATGAGCAGGCGCACAATGAACTAGACCAGTGCCGGAGAGGGCAGTTACATGTGATGAAGGGATAATTTTCAACGACTTGGCAGAGGGACACAGAGAAGAAAATAATGGTTTGTAGGAAACTCCAACGAGATCTGATCCTGTTAAACAATAGTTAATAATCCAGTTGTTTCAAAATAGCGGGAAGCAGAAATATAAATACCCTTGATTTGACCATATCTGTAAATAGGCTTAAGGATATCGCTTGTAGGTACTAGTCTGCTATTGGCAAAAATCACAGCACCTCCATCGCTGATGTGATTCTTGCATCTAGAAATGTCATATACAAGATCGTTGTTAACCGCAATTCCCTAAAGATACACGAAAACAAAGCATATCAGCTCGAGAACCGACCAAGTCGTCTTGAACGCGCACCATATTGGCCGACAATGTCCAAGGTGTCGTTGTCCACACTGCTAATTGGACTTTCTCCTGAGTCGAGACGATATTGCGTAGGAATTCATTTTCAATGTTCGACTCTTTGTCGATATCAAACAGAACGTAGGCGGCATGGGATAAATGGCCTTCCATGTACTCCAGCTCTGCTTCAGCAAGCGCAGATCGCGATGATGGAGAATAATACACTGGTTTGTGTTGCCGATATATCAAGCCTATAATAACGAAAAGAGGGGAGATGAGAATTTCTTTTTTTGACCATGGAACTGGACGAAACAAACCTTTCTCGACCATTTTTTGGAATATCCGCAGCTGACGAATGACATAATGGCGGTCTTGGAAAATATGTTAAAGTGATGAGTAGAGCAAATCATATCTTCACAGACCAAAAGTCCGATAAGTCCTTTCCCTTGAATCCCAATCTGCCATGATTCCTAATGGTCGAAACTGTTCTCTCTGAGAATTTATCTCACGTAGAGCGGTTGCTCTTGCTGCACGTCTGATTTCAGAAGCTGGGGTGACCAAAGGATCCAGCTGTTCGAAAATCGGAGAGTTGAAGTTATTATTATTAAGAATAAAACAAAGGTAACATACCTCTGTTTCCTTTAACGCTTTATTTTCAATTGGAAGACCATGACAATCCCATCCTGGCACGTAACTCGACGCGTCGTGTCAACAGCCCGTTCGAGAATACGACGTTCAGAGTACATACTGAACTTTCCGTCCTTGTAGCACATGGAAGCGGTTGATAATGTCCTTTATCACCTTATTCAAAGCGTGGCCTATACAAGACTATCAGAACTTGGTTCTTCACAGGCGGCGTCAAAGAAGAAGCTAAAGTTACCCATGTGTAGGTCTCCATTAGCATAAGGTGGTCCATCATGTAAAACGAATAAAGGACCTGTTGCATTGTCCCACTATTCAAACAGTTAGCCATGAAGGAAGAAAACACAGATCTTAGATCATTCACCTGCCACCGATACAGGTCATCGCATGTTAACTTCCGGTACAAGGCATCAATTCGCTTAGGATCAGGACGCAGAACAAATGAAGTCTTGGGAAGTAGTAATGTTTTTGTGAATGCCTTATTGTCTACCGGTTTTGCATTGGAAGAAAGGTACCGCGAGAGAGTAGACCCCTGGAGATGACGGAAGGTCGAATGCGGTATCCTCGCAGTCATTGACCAGGACGAAATTTGGTCGAAAAGTTATTATAAAGCGTCGTTTTCTAGGTTACATTTTCCAGGATTCAACTGTCTTCAGCGTCTTCGCTAGTATATCGGTTTAGTACACGCGCCTGTCACGCGCGAAAGCTGGGTTCGACTCCCAGGCGAAGAGTTTTGCTTCCCCGTTATTTCTCTTTTTCAGTGTTCGTTCACTTAGAGTGAAACCAGTGACATCGCAAATATCATATCGAAAGAGTGAGGTGGTTTGAGTATTATGTCTGATCTAAACTACATTACAACCATAAATCTATGAAAACCACGCCGACAACCCATCATAAACCACGAAAATAATCCCACTGCTCGGCACAGCTCTAGCTACCGTCATTCCACATCCAGCATATAAACCCTTAATCCCATGCCTCACATACATCCTCTTAAATGTACCCAAAAACGTGCCCTTAACCACCACCTTGCCCTTCGGTCTCAGCTCTTCCTCCGTCTGAATAGCGCTTTTAACAGTATCAGCCGGATAAAACATCAAAGCACCAACAGCTCCTGCTATAGCGCCTGACAGAGCTGATTCCCAAGCCAATAGTGGAGTGCTGGCTGCTTTGCCGGTATACTCAACTCCACTTGAACGAGGATCATGTCGCAGGCGATGCTCGATGAGCTTCCGAGCAACCCACTCCTTTGCAACAAACCATGCTACACTACTCCCCGTCTCGCGGAGGAGAGTACCAGTATGACCTAACCAAAGTCCGCGAACACCATAGACTTCGATAATGGACCGAATGAGGGCGATAGGGCCTGGTGGACGTGCTGCTATTGTAGATGGCGCAGACGGGGACAAGGCAACTGATGCCTTGTTGTATGCAAGATCATGCATCGCAACCCGAGTATGTGACTGCTGATTATGACGAGAAGCGGAATACAAAGGTGTAGTATGTTGTTTCCCATTATCCAAAGAGGAAAAAGGATATATCGAGAGATTCGAAAGTGGCCTCCACGGTATACGTCCTGGAGCGCCAGATATTGGGGGTGTATTGGAGACAGGAAAATTCATCATCTGTACTTGCATCTTACATTTCACCAACTCAATGGGGGTTCTAAGACAACCACGAAGGAAAAAAAAACAAACAAAAAAAAGATCATGTCAAAAATGATGTAACTTTTTTGTGGATAGGAAGGGGGAAAAAAGACAGACAGAACAAAACTCGTTATAAAACCCGCACCTGCAGCAGCCAGCCCAAGTTGAGGTATCGAAAGAGCCGCATGACCATGATGAGACTGCGAGAGTGAAGGATCCGAAGCTGATATTTCCCGAATAATATTTTGAAAAGCAGAATATGCGAAGAAAAGCGTAGCAGTCTCAGTTATGGCGCCAACAAGGGGAGCTGGTAGACCCTATAAGACACCCAATTAAAGAAACGACAATTGGTTAAATTTTGAGCGATACGTATACGAACAGGGCAACTCACCCTGTACAAACCCCTCGCTCCTTCCTCTTTCCAAGTCTGCGTCAGACAATGCATAGGACCTTCAAACCTCATCGTATTCGAGGAGGAAGGCACAAGGAGCTGTGCTTGAAGACGGACTTTGGCCAGATCGAATGGGTATTCAAGTACCTCCGCAATCATGCCTGCTATCTGGTAGGATATGAAAAAAAAAAAAAACAGGTCATTGCGCGCATCCCCTTGCCGACTGGAGACAACCTTACGCTACCAAAAAGTATATCTCTTGCTGCCTCCTGTGCAGGCATTGTGCTGACAACACTGGTATTAAATTTTACTTCGACCGAAATGGACGACTTGACATACCTATTATCTGAAGCCCTCTATGTGTTCTCTATATATATGTGAAATGGGATGTGAAAATCGCGTCCGTCTTATATATGACATGAAACCATGGTAAGTCTTAAGCGGGGAGCGGTATGGAAGTTGGAACTCCTTTGGCTTCAAAAAAGGAAACTTAGATTTACAGAGGTATACAGGAACATTTTTATGTAATACAACCAGCTTCAAGGCTTGATCGCAATCTTGAGGGCAGTCCGACTGTTCATCTTATCCAAGGCATCCTGGAAATCGTCGAGCTTGTAGATGTCAGTTACCATACCCTTCACGTTGATCTTTCCGCCATCGAGGTAAGCAACCGCTCGAGGGAAGCAGAAGGTCTGCGAGAAGGAACCAATAATCTGTAAAAGGTATGAGCTTTAGACTCTGAATGATCAAGATATGCTCACCTTGATTTCGTCACCGAAAATCTTGATGTACACCATTAAGCCTACAAAAACATCATTGTACAATAGAAAAACCACTCACTTTGGAAGGCGGCCAATGAACTAACGCGCTATTATCATATACGCCATAAATCATCAATGTTCCGCCTCTCCTCACATAGTTAATACTGTCATTCGCCAATTTTTCCACACCTGTCGCCTCAACGACAACATCAAACCCATACGGATTATCCTCCTTCAATTTCTTCCACTGTGCTTCAGGCGCCTTCCGATCAAGCTCGATGTACTCATCTGCCGCGTTGATCTTTTTCGCGATGTCCATTTTGATGCCTTTGTTAGCAGCGATGACGACGCGAGAGGCGCCGTTGAGCTTCAAAAGCTGAGCAAGGATCAAACCGGTAGGACCAGCACCTAAGAGAAGCACTTCGATCCCAACTGGTGGGTTCAACTTATCCAGTCCATGAATGGCGCATGCCGCAGGTTCAAGGAGGGTCGATTCTTCATCGGTGAGATTGTAGATTTTATACAACTTCTTCTGTTGGCTGTTAAAATAATCAGATTCGGATGGGCATTGAATAGTAAGCTTTGAAAGCCTTACTATTTGATGTACTCCGCGAATCCTCCATCCTGAGTGACACCACAAGCCTGGAAGTTCTCACAGAGCAAAGACTGTCCCCTACGGCAATAGAAACAAGTATCACACTGTTATCGGATTGAGGGTCGATGGCATCATCGATGATTTACGATCAAGATCGAGGAGATGGTAGATGGAAGGAAAGTGTCATTTTGAGTGGCTGTGTATTCTAGGGGGTGTCCGGAAATACTAACCGTGATGCCAACATCGGCAACACAACGGTCACCAATGGAAAAGCCTTCGACGTTCTTGCCCAATTCCACTATGGTTCCAATGGCTTCGTGTCCCGGAATGAGCTGGATATATGCGCTTATTTGATGCTCTGGACGATGACCAAGGGGCGACTTACTGGGAACTTGGAAATAAATTCTCCCTGTCTCAACAGGTAAGCATATATGAAAAGGGAGGAATGAATATAATTCTGACTTGATCAATGTGGCCATCCGTTCCACAAATACCTGTTAAACCGTCAGTGATAATCAGTAAAAATGACGGCAATAAGACTTACCGCAACAAGACACTATAACGACGTACATCATAAAGTAAGATTTTGGAAAAATGTGGCGCATATACGCACCTTTAAGCAATACTTCGTCATCGTTGATGTGGGGTATGGGTACCTGCTTGACAATGAAATCCCTGGGCTATACTGTTGTCAGAAATGAATCGACAGGGGAAGCATATATACGCACGGCATTGTACCAAAGTGCTTTCATGGTTCCTTGAGTCATGGTTTAGGTGAAGCTTGAAGAGTATTGATGGGAGATAAGGATAAGTCGAACAGGTAACTAGGGCAGGTTATATACCTACGGTTGCTCCACTTTCACATGTTATGATTATTAAATCCCGCAAAAACGGGTCATTAACTGTGTTCTGCAAGTAGTCACCCTGTCAACCTCCGCGAACGAAGCTATGATATCATAGTAGAAAGAACGTTTTCGGAGACGAGCCTCTGATTCTAGATGTAGTATTGCCGATATGAAGCGCGATCAGATAAAACGACGCATTGTCAGCTCCACAATGCTCCACTCTCGCAAATAGCCCAAGGTAGTCTGAGGCAGAAGTGATCCGTTCTGGTCCAGAATAAGTCATGACGTCAACATCCTAATATGGAATCCGAACTCTTCGTACCGTAGTCGACCTCGTTTCTTCTGGGACAGTCTTCTTTACCTAACACATGTTGCAAAAGTACTGGTAAGATACACTCTACAATGGAACGAAATAAATCATTCAGAACTCGTAGTATTGCAGAAATAGATAAGAACCATTGTGCTGCCTTGAAATCTAAAGGTCCTCCATATCTCTCCAAGCTATTTTCTGAACCTCCTGGAGAATATAATACAATTATGAATCCTTCCTTTTGTATAGGTGAGTCGCAAAGAAGAAAAAAACATAAGAGAGCTTGCGTATGATGAGGAAACCTTTTCCTGGTACGCAAGCTCTTATAATTGCTAGCAATGCCACATAAACTCAAGGAGTCGCATAGACCGTTTCAATGATGGTATTTGAAACCTGACCTGCTCCTGTAGTAAGCCACATTTTCTGGGTCCCAGACAGATGCCTCGAATCGGATGCCTAATGGCAGAATAATTCCCCGGACCCCAACTGAACACGTCATTTTGTACTCCGGTTTCGCAGTATTGGGAGTGGTACAGATTTCTTGATATTGACGCGGCATCGTAGTAGTTGGCAATGAGAAAGACAAGTGGTTTCGATAGACAACTTGAATGCAGATGTCGTCGTAATACTCTAAAGTCAAATAACTGGTCCTGTACTAGCAAGGGAGTCCCAGATAATCACCCGCTCCCAGAAAAGAACTCTCAACTACATACAGGTCCTTGGTAACGTACGGGGAACAAATTTTTCAGAAATATATATATAAATATCCTCACAATAATTAATCACGCGCGTCCCATTGGCGAACACTCCACATCCCAGTCAGTAGGCGTTAGTTCCTTTACCCTATTTCTAAATGCAGCGAGCGTACAAAACTCTGGATGACCCTCTAAATGGTTCCCGGCTTGGGCGCAGAATGGGAGTACCATGTCTTTATTTTGATATCGCATTCGGATGTCTGCATAAGAAATTAGATGAGACTGGTTTTAGGCAGAGAGGGATAAATAGGACGAACAGTGCTGAGAAAATGCGGGGGATATTCCAAAGTACGAAAAAATAGTTTGAGGATATGAACATTGACCTGGCGGCCCAGTCTTCTTAAACAATTCAAACGTTATAGATGCCGTGAAGGCGGGCCATCTTTTTTTAAAAAAGAAAGAATGTTATGAACCTCAACGGCTACAAG